TAAACTGCACTAAGATCACTGTTAGCACTATCAATATAGATCTGCTAAAGGAAAACCAAGACAGCAGTAAATGCCCGCAGTAAATGCAATGCTTGTCTATACGTCTAACACAGAGAGCATTGATAAAATACTGGTAAAAATGTGTGAAGATAGTGGATTGGGTTGAATAAGAATTGCTTTCTATCTGGGGCTGATTCATATTACTAATTGTGCAATAGCAAAAACATCTTCTCCAAGCTACAAAATACTGTATGTTGAGACTACAACTTCCAGTCATGATAGTTGGAAATATTGAAAGTTGCAGGCATAAGACATTTAAATATCACCACACTGGAGAAGGACGGCGTCAAGCAAATTTTTGTGACAAATATATGTAGGTCACTTGCAGTTAGGAATGATGTTTAAATAGCTGGTTCCTTCTGTGCAGTAAACCAGGCAGAGCATTTAAGGGCCTTTGTAAATCAGTCATGCCAAGTGATTCGGCAGGGCCACAGAAACCCTGGTGACGGAGTATTTGCTTGTTTTATTATTTTCAATGCGATGTGTGCGTCCTTAAGCATAGCTTTCTGCAGATTCTAGTGCCAGATTTTTCAGACTCATGAGTAGTAAACAATATTGCCTGCTATTCATTAAGCAATTTCGTTTGACCTACAATGATCTTGTGAATCATTTACCACATGTTTATATCCTCAAGTGCATTTGCCTAGATACAGGCAATATCTGTCTTCAAAATACAGAGTCAAAATCATTCCGAACAGTGTTTTTTTATACAAAGTTTGTGTCCAGCTGCCACTGTAGCCAGTGTTTCAAGACAATTCTATCTTAGTCAATGAACAAAAATTTTCACGGATGTTTTAAAACGGTCAGAAATTATACTCATGTTTATTCCACCCTGAACTGTAGAGTTACAGATTGTGCTAGGAATGAAAGTTGATCTCGTTAGTTGTCTGTTTTCAAAATTTTTCAGAATTGCTGTAGGAGGCTGAGATTTACATGTATTGCCTTTTGCTCTTTAATGAATGCAATACGATCAGAAAAAGTTTTTTGTGTGTATTCAGCCACATAGGAGTTGTGGCAAGAAGCTAGAAATGAGCAAAAGAGTAAGTTTCTTTTTCCCACAAGCTGCTTCTACTTTGTGAACTGCCTCTTTCTACTATTTTGTATAGAATGAGGAGCAACCCATGCTCCTAAATAAGAGACAGAATGTTAAATTCCATTCTAGCAAATGTTCTCCTTTTGTATCTGTAGAGAGGACTATTAATGTCTCTTCAACCTCTTCTTGCATTTATCAGCAAAACTTTTCCAGCAAGCATACAACAGGGAATCCAATGTACAACCCTTAGGATTGCTAACTTGAATATTAAGAATGATGTATTTTGCACTGGTTCATTGGTTGCTTAAACACTGCTAAGCACAATTCAGTGTGTTGTTACTTACTTTAAGTCCCTACATGGTTTTGGGACTCTGATCCTTAAAGAAGCATTTGTACCCACATGATTCTGTTCATGCACCCAGATAATTTCCAGAGCCTTTCATTGTTGTCTAAATAGAAAAGTGAGGAAACAGTTTCCCCACCATCTGCTTGTGACATGCATCTTTTAAAATTCTGTCCCTGGAAAAACTCACCTCTTTGTTTTTCCATTGTCACACATGAAGCATTGTATATTTTTCCAGACTTTCTTTTTCAAAAGAAACTGAGTTCATTTGATTTCATATTTTCTTTCTCTTTTAGTGCTTATTATCATCTCTTACTGTTGAATTACTTGTTTTATTTTAAGTGTTTTGCAGTATTTTGATATTTGGGCTTTTAAAAAAAAAATCTCTACTCCAATCCAACACTTTTTTTGGCACTTGGTTTGTTTCAAACCACTATTTCATATCTTTGTTCAATGAATAAAAGAGTAAACTTGGCTAACCTACTGTATGTTTTTCTGACCTTCTTCCAGTTACAGATGTACAATGAATCAAAATCACAATTTTGCTAGGTGATTATTCTGGTAGATTGTGAAATGGAAACAAACATTTTAAAAGAGATCACTATGGGCAGGAGAGTATTTATGATTCTTAAATTTGAAGATGAGTTAGGATTGGCAAAATGGTGCCTTATAGTAGCCTTTTCTTATGTGGCCACAGCTATCAGAGGAGCCAAAAGAATTCAACAGCCATCCACATCACATCATTTCAGTTTAGATTTAGAAGCAAAAATCTTTGGGTCACAGATCACTTCAGAATATAAAGCAATGATAAAAACCCAAAGTTCCTATTGCATGAGAGGAAGCTACTCCTGCACATGGAGTCTGCCATTTTCTCTGTTGATCTGCAATGCCCTGAAAGTTGGCTCTAGTTGGGGATATGCTCCAAATAAAATCATGTGTAACACAAGGAGAGCGCAGCTGGGGGAAAATTGGCAGCACTCACGCACAAAAGGAAGTGCTTTCAACTCACACAGCAGGATCATCTGATTCAAGCCAATCTATTTATTTCAACTTACTTGGCTGAAATAAAAAAAAGCTCTCATAAATAAAGTTGCTTGGCTTGCAGAAGAGAAGGTATAGAGGAGACTAGAAGAAACACTTTGCAAATTTCAATCCACAGCTGGAATCAATAGATTTTTTTTTTTTTTTTGTATTTTCTTACTGAGCAAATAAATAAGGACTGGAAGTTTTACAAGACACATGGAATGATGTACAATTATTTTCATCTTCATGGAGTGAATGTTTCTGATGTTTGTGACACTTGAAGTTTTAAAAAAGCCATTGGTTTTTTATGTGCCTGTGAAAACTATGTTTATGATAGGTTGCTTCCAGATGGGTGGCCCCTTGCAGTAATAAAATATTACTCTCCACTCTAAGCAGAAAGTGGAACGGCCCTTACGTTTATCAGAAGTGGAGTTATTGTATTGTTTATATATATTCATCCATTGTCTTCCATACGGTCCCATGTATGTAACTCCAACTGATGTGGCATGGAAGGGCCACTGGAGTACCATCAGAAAAAAAATCTGATCTTGAGTAAAAAAAAAAATTAAATAAGTCATGCTTTGGGGTGATCAGAGAGGAAAGGAACACTTTCTAGACACAGATAAGCAAA